GATATTTATTAAATATAAACTTGACGTATTMATTTTATGTAATTGCTTAATTTATTAATAAACACATCCTGTGTTCGGCTGAAATATTTTAATAATTTAATGCATCGTTATGTTTGCAGTACTGCAGTAGGTATATGCTTAAAATAAATATTATGTATTAGCTCATATAGGTAGGTATTATATTAAATTATTCACTGTGATACGCTAGGACGTAAATTTTTGACAACATTTAGTTTAAAACTACATGTTTTAATTAAACATGGCATAATAGGGTTGGCGATAGCCTGCAGCTCATGGATAGCTTCCCTCTGTATGTACAAAGTAGTCAGCTCGCAATCATGAAACACATTACATGAAATGCGCATCTAATACCACTATCGAGACAATGTTACTAGGTTCTTAGCACGTCAGTATAACAATCAATATCTCAATTTATCAACAAATAAATTATAAATAGAAGGAACTTACAGAATTTTCAAGTTTGTATATTTTTATAAAGTATTCAAAATCAGAGCTCATTGATATTCATTTTTATCAAGTGCAAAGCAATTTTATGAGCCATGCCATTATAATTTGTCACTACTTGTTATTTTCAGCTGATATAAAAAAAATGTTATTTCGTATAAACTTAATAATTGTTTGCACTTATGCGTGTAGGTATGTGCATTGTAGAAATGTTCTGATATTTTCATGTACTTTTACTATGATTCTTACACCTATATGTATAATGCATATGTATAAGTTTAATGTATATGTTACCTGAAATGTTGACATTTAGAAAATGATGACAGTTTTTAGGAAATTATGACAATTCTTAATAACTGAAACACGTGATATCATTGCATAGTTCATGTTATCATTTCCTAACGATATTAGGCAAAGATGCATATATATTTTTTTTAAATGACCTCTTTAAAGTACCAGCTCAAGAACATTACCTTTTAGAAAAAATGCTTCACTTGATACTTTTGAGCAAGTTAGAGGGAGAAAAATTGTTTACAGAATAAAAAAGAAAAAGAAATAAATATCATTGTAAAATCAATACCTTCCTCACTCCGCTCAGAATCTAAAAATTGTTGTATCTAGATCATAGTATTTCGTGTAATTATAATAATAATCGCTTTTTTTCATTACTTGTTTAGTTGTTTATTTGAAATATAAAATATACCAAATATATTTGGTTAATTTATTATATAATTAATTAATTGATTAATTAATATGTATATTAACTAAAATAGTATAAGTACCAAAAATCATAATATACTGATAAAATTGAGCCCCTGTAATGTAGGGCTTACATGCTTAGCGTAATAATGAAAAGAAAACAGTTGAATAAATTAAACTATATTATGGAAAATGTTATCTTAGATAACTGATTATATTAATTTATTTATCTATATAAGTTTAAAAACTATAATATACTATTATTTATCATTGGCTTTAATTTAAATTACATAGATAAATTAAATAATTTATTAATTATAGCGCCAGTCCGTGTAATTATACTCGTATAATTTGTTCTCAGTTTCTATTAATTTCAAYTATAAAATTATGACGTACRAGTAGTATGACATTATTTAAACGAACTAAAATCTGAARAGCGATTWAAAATGATACTTTAAAATTGTGTGAATTTTAGTAAATTAACTAAAATAATGAAATATTCTAAAAATATCTATTGTTGTATAGTTGCCGTATAAGAAGTTCCGATGAAATAAATTAGAATAGCAGTCACGAATGGTGATGAATATTTTTTTTTAATACCAAAGAAAAATAAATCTTGTGTAATCCTATTCTATTGTACTTCAATAACTTTAACTCAAGCCAAAACATTTGGATTTATTTAAGTCTTCGCAGTTAAAATTAAGCTCCCTATAATTGTAATAATTATAATGCTCCGTCTTTTGTATGTTTTCGTATACTGATTTGAYTGAAGGAAAACCGGYGACGGTACTTATGATTGTTCCCTTCAAACAATTAAAAAATTGTACCTACATACAAGTGGCATTCTGCAATCGGGAATTTCTATAGGTGTTCCCTACTCCTCAATTCGACCATATGATTACTGATCAGTTTTTTTTTGCCATAAGACAGTTAAAATGTCAGTTAATATGATTAAATAACATGAAATATTTATATTTATAAAACATAATAATATACTCTACTATGTTATATATTATATACTATTTTTCTTTATAAAAATCGGTGGCAATAGCCATGATTTACAACTTATTTTTTGTTATACATAATATTGGACTATACAAATTATTATTATTTTTAAATACGAGTATTAAAATTAGTATGATTGTGTCTGCGTTAGGCCTAAGTGCTGCAGATAAGGTGAAGGGTAAGTCGAGGCGGTTTGTTTCGTCTGTGAATTGGATACATTTGGTGATTAAGTGGTTGACTGATATTTCAGTTTCCCAATAATTGCACCTTTGAGTATTTATATATTATAAGTATTATGCATTGTTGAAAAGATTCCACRAGTTGGTGGTTAGATTTTTATAATCGATRTAATATATTTTACCAAAATAGATATTATTAGGGCCCGGAATTATACGCACTAAAAATGTATGCAATATGCAATAATTTTCATTCAAATATGCGTTTAAAATATGCAAAAATATATGAACGAAAATGTATTTTAATTAAATTTATTTAGTTTAAAAATGCATRTAATTCATTAAATAATTAATAAGGAGTATATTAATAACAAAAAAATGCATTAAATGCCAATTTGATATAATTTAATTGTATTTTGTATGGTATATTCAATAGTAGGACTTATGTTACTTTTTGAACATTCACTCATCTAAATAAAAATTCACRAACAAAAATCAAATACAACGAATTTAGTRTATTTTTATAATATTTAAAAATTACACGGAGAATTACAGTTAACTAATAAAGACTTGGATACATTTTCAAATAAAAATGCACTTCGATTTTCAGACAAATTTTTTTCTTTTTACATCTACGGGTTGAACATATGACATAGCATTAAGTATTATTATTAATAACATGATAGGTYAAGCCCCGCCATTTGCAATATCACTCACATAGTCACATCCTTCATCCACATTAGGTTAAGATTCAACTTTGTATCTTCCTAAGCTATTTTCTAATTTAATAAATAAAAATATGCAAATGCATACAATTTCGGGCTCTACATATTATATTGTTTAAATTAAACTGTCAACCAATACATTTTAAATATAAAATGTTATAATTAATACTAATTAAGAGTTTTTATAAGTTCTTACATTTATTAAAATAAATTAGTTATTGCACTATTTCCAAATAGAAGACTCCAACAGCTATTTTATATTTCCCCCGTGTCCACGACMACCACTTTATATTCTCTATATACCTAGGTACAGTGCTACGTTGAGATTCATCGAAAACAACCAACCATAAAATCTATATCTGAACCATTTGGACCCATTCGATTAAATCGTTAATCGCTTGTTCGGTCCATTTAATTCTGTATGGTATAATGTGTTATATATAGGTAATGTGCATGGCTTAGCAAAATTGTATTATGTCATAGTACGAGAAACCCTTTACGGCAATTGCATATTATTGTAATGTAAAGGTATAGTATGACGATTGGTTGACATTCTAACGGGTCCTGACTCCTGATGTTCTCGATAAAAATTATGATTTTTTTTAGTGTACTTGCTGTATACTTAAAMTGCTTAAAAAAAATTAGGGAAATAGGTTTTACTGAATAGCGCCTAAGTGTCGAGTGTATATTGTTTATGAATTATCACTATAATTTTAAATTACATCTTATCAAAATACTGGTTTGTATAACTAATATTCTCGTTTTTTCACTTTTTATATCAATCATCAAAAACAGTATTGCATGTATGTTATATTATCTTTTTCACTATAATATACAAAATAGATGTAAATTATTATCAAAATAAAACCTTTGATGTAAAAAAAAAAAATTTACATGATAACGAGGAAAAAATACACATTACATTATGTTTATTTTTTATTTATTGAAAAAGTACGGGCCTAATCCAATTTAATACAGACTAAACTTAAACAAAAAATAAAGGATCATTTAGTAAAACGAATGATATAACAAAAAAAAAAAAATAATAATATTGTAGTAATAGTAACATACTGACATCTGAAGTGTAAAATTATACAAGAATCAAACAAGAGGATTTGTTCGTGCTGGGCCAATTTCATCATTCTTAGCATTGGACTATTTTCTTTTTTTTTTTTATAAAAAGTTTATTAAAACAGAATGAGAAAAACAGGTTGTATCTTTGTGCATAACAATATATAATTGATTATGCCTAAAACAAAAGTTTTAAATAATTGTTATACAATAGGAATTTGCTTTAACTGTTAATTACTATWCGCCTAAAGCGATTACTTATTGCAGGTATTTAAACGCTAAAGAGCTTTTTATTGAATGGAACTAACATCATTTTAACACAGCTATGCTTAATTGCATCCTAGCTTTTTATTATATTGCTTTATTACATAAAAATAGTTAATTTAAGTACACTTATATAAATATTTTGTTTTTGGTGAGGCACTGTTAAAAAATCATGAATTATTTCTTTGATTGCTTTTAATAATGTTGTTAATTTACTTATCCTATTAACTGGGTAAATTGAATAGCTGTGTTGTAATAATTACAAGGTACAAACAAATTTACAAATTTATTTATCTATTCAATTACATTAATTAGTATAATACTTTTTTTCTTATATTTCATGATTAAAAATATAGCATTATAATTAATCATATTAAACTTTGTAGATCAATTTTAAAATTACCTATTCCAAAGTCAGTTCGAAATTGGACTTCCACTATAAATGGCGTACCTGGATTTTTTGCTGTAGTTTTTATAGCGYTAAGCACTTTAAGTCCTGAGGATAAACAATGTTGCCTTTTGTTTGATGTCATGTCAATCAAAAAACAAGGACTTTGGGATGAAAAAATTAGAAAATATTATTGGGAATTGCGATATGGGAAATGCTTTGGAAATTGAAAGATATAACACTGCAGCCACTGAAGCTTTAGTCTTCATGCTTGTAAGTAATAATGGAAAATGGAAATTACCAGTTGGCTATGCTTACAAAATAAAATCACAGCTACGGAACAAGCTGAGCTAGTAAATACTGCTTTAAACCATTCACATAAAGCAGGATTGAAAGTTTTTTAGGATTGACATGTGATGGTGTATATGCCAAATTGTCCACTATGTAGATCCTTGGTTATAAAATTGGTGATAACTATGAAGAAATACAGTGCCTGTTTGATCATCCAATTGACAATAGCAGAGTATATTATATCCCAGATGCATTTCAAATGCTAAAACTGGCTAGAAATACTTTAGGGAATAATCATGTCTTGGAGTCAAACAATGGTTTCATTAAATGGGGAYATATAACAAATATTTATGATGAACAAAATAAATTAACTCTAAAATTTGCCAACAAAATAAGTATGGCTCATGTCCATTGGACAAATAATAAAATTATGGTGAAATATGCTGCTCAAACATTAAGTTCATCAACTGCTGATACTATGGAATATTTGAGTAGTATTAAGTATCCTAAATTTAATAATGTAGYTACAACAGCAGAATTTTGTAGAGCCATTGATAGMATTTTTGACTTTTTAAATTCAAAAAGTAAATTTTCTAAAGGATTCAAATCACCAATTTTTAAATCTAATATAATTTTCTTAGAAAACATAATTACTCCTTTGATAAAATATCTTTATACTCTAAAATTTAATGGTTCTTTTTTATATACTTCAGCTAAAATAACCTTTATAATTGGTTTTGCAATTGCAGTTAAATCAATGTTAAGTATTGCTAGAGAGTTATTTGTTGTATCTACTTATTTTAGTTATGTTTTAAGTTATACATTTTCTCAGGACCATTTAGAGTTACTGTTTGGTCGTATTTGCCAAAGATTTGGTGCTAACAACAAYCCCAATTTAACTCAATTCGAAACTGCCATGAAACAAATTCTATTGAAAAATGCCATAAAATGCAGATTTAATGGAAATTAAAATAAAATACCTTCGATGATGACCATGTAGGATCATTGTTTGACTTTAAATGGACAGAGAAAAAAAATCAAGAAGAATTTATCATTGAAAGTTGAAATCAAAATGATTATTATATTATGCAAAACAAGTTATATCTTTTAAACAATTTACAGTCAAGTAGTATTTATTATGAGGCAAAAAGGAATATACTTTATTATATAACTGGATAGATCGCAAGATGAACATAAAAATTGTGTGTTGTAAAGAATCTCTTCTATTGCAAAGGTGTGACCATGACTATATCTCTAACCAATATTCTAGTCTTGTAAGTTTTAAAAACAGAGGTGGTCTCATATCATGTTCAGATAGTGTTTTCAAAATTGTTTCTGAATGTGAAATGTTATTTTATTTATATACTGACAATTTAAAAAAAAATATTTGTACAAAATTTAAGTTTATCTATTATTAATCAATGTACACGAAAATTTAGTTTCGACAAAAACATATTCCCTTTATTAAATTGTGATAATGTTTCTATACTTGAACGACCAAATAAATTATTAATAACCATCATTGCTAAAAAAAATCCTTAAAATCCGTTTAAATTCTTTTTCAAAAAAWTATACAGAATCAATAAATGAAGTAAGCATACGCCATATCCTAACAAAAGAAATTTTATTCAGCAATCAATAAATTTAATTATAGCTAAATTATTAACTATTCTTTGTATTTTTTATTATTTATTTTATATCTGGTATCAAATAAACATTGTTTATTGTTGTTATTATTATTATTATAATAAACTATTTTGTTTTATTTCTAATATGATGATTGTTCATTAAAATAATTCTTTGTTTGGTTTTATATTTATTTTATGTACTTTAATAACATGTTTATTATTAAAAATAATATTGCCTTTGGAAATTTTCCCTTAAAAATGTCTTTGTTATTTTGATTTTATAACAGGTGGACAGTTTGCATATTAAAATAATTGAATAGATAACACCTAACTGGTGCTTTCATGTTTTACTAAGCTACTTTTGAGAAATATTACAAAGTAGTTACTCAGGACTACCAATATTTTTCATTTTCCTATTTATTAGGAATTAAATTATTTATTTTCCCAAATCAAATGAATAATTGCTACAGCAATTTTCTTAACTGAAGAGAGAACTAATGAGTATTAAAGCCAACGCCCTATTATTACTATTATTATTAATATTATTATTATTATATATATTTTTTTCTTTTCTTTATCGTTAGCTCCGTTTTGTCTACCAGCACGTTTTTCGCCTTGGTTGTTTTTGTTATTTTTTGGCCAGCTAGTAAAGTGACCATAAGTATTGTTTTTGTTCCGCTATTGAAGTGACCATCTATTCTATGCTACCATTAAATTTACTTATTACATACAATTTTATATCCATCGATTCTATACATCGGAAACAAATAAAATTATTGATGACATAGTGCATAAATAATAAGTGTATATGAATCGTGTGCAACCAACAATAAAATCTACTTTCATTAAGTAAGTCATTGTTTTTTTTTAAAATTATCATCAATGGTCAAGCGCGGAAGTCCACCAGCAACGAAGTTGTCTTAGAAGCCATCCAGGTCGTCATGTTCATCGTGCTCTCTCCACCGATGCCTGCTGTGTTCTCCGTCACCGGACTTCATTAGCTGCTAAATTAGTTTTAAGTATTGTCGAATATGAGCTATATGGTCATTGTAACATCCCCATAACTAAATTTTAGTATCCATATTCCTGTGATATTACGTATAAACTCCAGTCCTCGTAGTAGTTGTCATGTATAATTGGTTGCCTTTCCTCGACGGAAAATGAGTAGTTAGTTAAGTTGCCTACCTACTTTAAATTAAGGCGTACTTTGCTTCGGCGGTACATATATTAAAATTGGTCTCAAAAATCGTGCAAGTGGTCCTTCGGGTGCTACCCTTTATTGGACACTTACAATTATAATTTTATCTCATAAAATAAATAAATTATTGAAATAAAAAAAATAGTGAAATTATGTAAAAAYTATTTACTACTAGCTGTCCCACCCGGCGTTGCCCCGGCAAAAGTCACCTTAGGTGAAAACCGGGATTTTTTCGACTTCGTATTGCCTCATTCGATAATTAAAAAAGCTAAACTTTTATATAAAAAAACTTAAAACAAACAATCCGTAATTTTTAAAAACAAAATGCTCGGTATGAATGAGGTTTTATTTATTACACATGATTTTGCTTAAAAATAGTCACGTCACAACAATGTTTAACAAACTTACAAAACAGAGTTTTCCTGAAATACTAGCTACTTATAAGGTTTCAATTGATACTAGTAGGTACACACAGTTATGATACAGTCTGTTAATCAATTTAAAGCTTTCTGACCCCAAAAGACCCCCTTTCTCCAAATTTTCTAACTCTTTTTCAACAGCTATTTTATATGAAAATAGTATAGAATGGTGTTTACAAAAAATAGGATTCATTTCACTATTTAATTCTAAATAAATTTCAAAATGTTTATATTCTCCGATTTTTTTTATTGTCAAAAATGTTCTTAACATCATCAACTAATTGTTCAATTTTTTGTTCATGATGACTCTACACAATACTGATATTATGATTTTTACGAACTATTGAAATATTAAACATTTTAATCAGTCTACCAAACGATAGATAATAATTGAATGGATTTGAATTCATTGAATTTGCATTAAACTATTGTCTATTAATGTTAATCTAGTATTAAGTTTATCAATTGGTTTTGATAAAATGCTATAATAATGAAGCTTAATATTTACTTTAATTAATTTAATATTAGACCATTTTTCTTTGTAAACTTATTCTGTTAAAATTTATCTCGCTACACCTGAGTCAATCTCCATGTTTTTTTTTTTTTTTTATCTCAACCGAAAATAATTCTGAGGGAATATTAACATCAAATTTAATAACAAACAAATTACATTAATTTATTATATTATCAATATTGCTGCAATTAATAACCTCCATGTTCTCTACCAATATTTTCTTTCTACAAATAGTTGCTAATTATCCAACTTTGGAWCATAGTTTACATTCGTATGTATTATACTTCCAATTGATGAAATCATGATTCAGCGTGCTGTAATGAAAACATAGGCTGCTGTCTTTTTGATAGTCATGTTTTGGTATATGCTAATTGTTTTGAGTTGAGATTTTTGATGCCATTTCACTTATTGTCTGTTGTTTTCCTTCGTTTTTTTATACGATTACGGTTTTTTGTTAGCCAGAAAAAAAATTTAGTTAGATTATAAAACTAAAGGTTCATTWTTACATACAATCTCTATACTAGTTTAATAAGATTTTTATCTGGTTGATCCTCACAAAAAATGTCTAGTGTCGGTCCTTTTAAGGCTCCATGGAAAATTTGACTTTTAGCTTTTTAAATAAGTCAGTTCCAAAATAATTACAGTTCATGGCTACATTTTTTAAATGTAATTTTGAAGAAAATTTATTTTTTAACAAGTTACATATTTTTTCTAGTCGCTTTAGTAGGATAACCTTTGTTTTTCGACTCGAGACTTATGTCCTGTTGGGAGTTTACCAATTGTGCTTAAAATGACCTTTTAATATACCAATTATTGCACTCAGACTTTTTTGGGCCGATATACCAATTGCGCTTTGTCTTTTTTGGGTCGGTAGACCAATTGCGCTCAGTTGTTTTCAGGGATTATAATATTATTCTACATTACACCTAGTATATAAAAATACTTTTATAAAAATTTGTATTATATAATTTTTTCAGTCAATACAAAAAAATTATTGTTGAACATCAATGTTAATAATAATTGTACAATATAAATCTATACCAAATCATACACATAGATAATATAATCATACATGTTAAAAATAAATAATTAATATATAAGTACATAAAAATATAAAAATATAATATGTCTGCTTTAGACAGTGTGTGGAACGTACAAATTAGACAGATAAATAATAGGTGGATAACGATCATTAGGTAATGATAATGAAAACTTGTTATACTAGTAATCTATCTCTCAAATTCATACTTTATAATATGTTCGATAATAATAATAAATAAAATATTTTATATTTCGCCCTACGTCGAGTCGGGATAGGTACTATTATCAGCTTGTAGCTTGTCATATTTTCCCGTAATTTCGTATACGTTGTGTTTTAAATAAGGTATATTTGAATGTATATTAGTTAGCTATATTTAATTGTGTTTATACATATTTAACTTTTTCCGCCGTGTAGTAACTTACTTACATAATATGTCCATGTAAAAATAAGGAACCTAAAATATAAGCGGCGCAATTGGTATACTGACCTAAAACACAAATATTGTTTTAGGCGCAACTGGTACATGCCCATCCTGTTAGTGTTCATTTTTTTTTTATTTATTTAAATTTTCATCAGAACTGTAAAGTATGATACCTTGTCAATACATTGTTAAATCTTATTTAGTAAATAAAATGTTACACAAACTTAATGACAGATATATCATAAAGATAAAGCACATCATGGTTTTTCTTATAAAACAATTATTATAACAGTGTTACTAACTCAAATTATATACAATACAAATAAATCCATGGTTTGTATTTTAAATTTCAATTAAAACCAGTGAACGCCATTAGTGATTTCATAACGTATTAATGCATAGGTAGTGATTTTATCTCACATTTTCTTCCATTATTTCTAAGCTCTTTATGGGGAAAATGCATTTATGCAATTATGATATGTGCAATAATGTATTAAATAAACTTATAGTTTAGAAGTATTTTACTTCAAAGAACCAAGAAAACTGAATGACGCTTCCGGTTCATTGACAATGGAAATATAGTTAACAATCTCTAGTTTTTGATCATTATTACGAATTATGATTATTATTTTTAAAAACACATCGTTAAATATCCTAGTTATTTCCATACACAGCTTCAATCAWTCAATACCACGCTATAGTCGTTGTTTTTAGGTATCTCATTATATTAAAAAAAAAATTATATAAT